TATAAGTTTAATTATTGGTAATTGTAAATAGGTATGCTTTCGTATAAGATGTTTATTTTTATTACTTTTTTTTAAAAGAAAATATTAATTCTATTTTATTCTATTATTTATTCGATTTTCTTCCTTCAGTATGATATTTTATTTTGTTCTTATTTCGCTGTATATTATTTTGAAATTACCTTATTTATTTTTTGATTTTGTAAATATGGTGTGAATGTGCTCTCTGAACTCTATTATAAATGTCCTTAATTAAGACAGATTGTAATATTTATTAATAAACAAATAATCCAAAATAAAAAAAAATGCCGATATACACATCAAAGATGTTGAATTACGGAGCCAAATGTATTTTTGACAACATTTATTTATTCATATAATTTATTATATCCTTTGTGACGCTTTAAAATAATATCACTCGTATTTTGCCTCAATAAAGTTGTAAAATTTGCAGATAAATCATTGTTGTACTGGATGGGCTATTTTTAATATTGACAAATATGATATGTTTTTTTGGAGACGAGACTACTTTTCTGTGCGTGGATTATTTCTCCGTTTCGCATAATGAGATAGAATTATCGGATCAGAAATTAACTCAAATGAAAGTAGATGCACTAATTTTCAGCTTGCTTTGGTTACATAATTAGTTATAACTAACTAGACTCTGTCCAAAGGGATTTAATCAACTACCAAATTAACTGGCCGGGTGGTAGCGACCTGCAGCCAATCTACCCTTCATTAAGTCTGTTTGCCCATTTATTGCTCCCATATATTGCTGCCATACCTTGTAGCAAACACGAGTGCAAATCGGCTCTCAGTTAGGCAAATCCTATTTGAGTAACTGCTATATTCGAAATGGATCTAATCATTAGCATGAGCTCAAAGAGTAATAACATAAAACTAGGATACGATTGATACATCTGGGATTAATTTAGTCTTCAACTAACTTGGAACCCGAATGCGAGACTTAAAAGTCAAGAGCTTAACCGACGATTTAGACCACTAAACAGAAAACTATTAACCACAAGACCATACTGAAACCTATCTGGACCTACTGACTTGAACTATGTGGGGAACAACTAAATCGTCGAATATCAAACGAATCCAATCCTTCCAGTCCAAAGTATTTCGAACAATAGTCAATGCTCCATATTATGTCACGAACAAGACCCTACACCATGATCTTAACATCCCATATGTCCTTGACATCATCATATTCACATAACCTAAACTTAGATCAGAACTTTATTCATCATCCTAATCGTCTAGTGCAATCCCTATCCAGCTGCGAGCATCCATACCATCCTTCTCGAAGGTTAGAACGGCATTGGTCTGGAGATCTCTTGTAAATATGTCTTCGGAGTCCTGGCAATGGCCAGCTTCTTTACTCAAGTCCTAAGTGTATGTGGCTACCATGCCTTCTTTCAATCTCCACTAGCTTCTACTACTAGTGAATATAAAACTTTTTTTTTAATCTGTTTTTTAGTCATTTTATGAATATAAAATGACTAAAAAAAAGGTAAATTAATTAATAAAAGATTTGATAATAAAATGTTCATTTAACGTAATCACATTTCTGAATAGTTTACAATAATAAACTATGTTTTAGACCATTTTATTTTCAATACTTAAGAAGTTTCTTTCTATAGATGTTTTTAATGACACGTACTACAAACTACAGTAGCAAGAACCTGTCTGGATGAGAATGGCAATATATTCTACAAAGAGGCCCAATTATTAAATCCCAATTCTTTAACCTTAATAAGTACTTAAGTCTTACTTTTTTAAAGTAAATAACCAGTTATGTATGTTTTTCATCTATTTATATTTTGAAGCGGCTAGAGAAGTTGCATTGGGATCTCCTGGAGTCACGATTTGCCTTCCACATATGGAGGAAAAACCCTGGCTAGGATATTTCTGAGCGGAATGTATGTATTGTATATAGGCATGAATGTGTTTAGAAGTTATATTATTCTTATTCATTTACTTTTTTAATATTTATAGTTGTTTTCCTATTATTTGCATATATTGTATGAATGAGAAATTTTAGCTTTAATTATTATAGCCCTCCAAAAGTGGCTGATTGTAATATTATTCAATAAATTTAAAAAAAAAATGATAAATATTTAATCTTGAATTCCAACCAAGCTACTCCAAGACTAAAATAATGTATTACTAGTCTCTGTTTAGCATAGTAACATTCCGAAATCAGAGGCTTCAAATTGCAGAGAATGACAAAGCAGAAACCTAACACTGATTTACAAAGGAGCGAATTGGGCATACGTTGATGAAAGAGAATAAATAATTACTTCGAACCCGGGACCTAGAGTTCAATGCCTTAAGCAGTGAGCTGCATTGTACTCAAAATAAATAAAAATAGTACTTAATAATTTTACAAATGATAAAATTAAGCTTTTAAAAAAGCTTAAAATTACATCAAATCATCTTATAATCAGGTTGCCGAGCAACGAGGTGATGTGCCCACCCGGCCTACCTCTTTTCGCCAGCATTACTCAGATATTAATTATTAATTGTTAGTCTATACGGGATTTTTTACGTGCCAGGGGAAAGGGAGAGGAATTAAAAAATATTTAAAAGTCACCTCCCTCCCCACACCGGGATTTGAAGCCGACACCTTCTTTTTATCAGAGATTGCTGGACATCGCGTATTTTGTACACACGAGCGCGCTAAAGCCAACCTACATCAGAATATAGATTAAGGAAAATATGTTTTCACATATCTGATGTATAAAACACTATGATTCAACATACTTCAAACTAACGACAGAAAAAAAAATGTTAAAAAAACAAATAATTATTCCACCTCCTTTTCTAAAATATTATCTATTTAATTTGAATTTATAATGAAGATAGTAAGTTGATGAATATATATTTAATTTGCGGGAATGATAATTCATAAGTGAGGCGGTAATTCGGGGAAAAGATATGCAAATGAGGTTTCTCGTGTTTAGCCAACGGCATTTAGAGAGTTAAGGATAAACCTCTATGGAGGGAGGTATTACTGTTTAAGTTCAATCTTATATCCACTAAGTTGAGGATTTCGTTAAGAAGTTTCTGCACCTAAAAACTTTGTTGGGTTCTCATCTTTAATTAAACCGGAGGAAAAGACGAATTATCTTTTATAATTATAGAAGATAGTTATTTAAGATTATCTTTCATGTATCCATAATTTTACAATAAAGAAAGAAATTGAAAAGAAAACGCGCAGCAAAAAAAAAAAAAAAATACATTCACAAGAAACATTTTATATAAAAAAACGTTTTCAGAACTATAACCGTTTATGAATTGATCATTATAAAAATACACTAAAAATGTAAATACATATTTGTATTTTAATAATAATTAAATATTTAATAGAGAAAACGAAAAGAAAATCAATGTATTGATAATTTTCTAATTAAATTTTTTACTGAAATTCTTATAATAAATATACATATACAATAATTAAATTATTTTTAAAATTTTTACTAGGTTTTTGACGAAAATAGAATAAAGTTGAAATTGGCCAAAATATAATAGTCCCGAAACGTTATTATGTATTGCAATAAAATGTTGATAATGTTGTATTATTATACTAATTTAAGATTATTATTGAATAAACAAATGAAAATTTTTATATTTTCCCCCTTAAATAATTGATTAATTTAATACAAAAGAACAAAACAATTTTAAAACTATACTCCATTGAGGAACAAATTTAAATCCCTTATCACTGATAAAAATAAATTCCTTGAGATTAGACGTGTTAAAGGTCTGAGCAATGTTTTTGGATGAATGTGGGGATTATGCCGTGTGACATTTATTATTGTTACTATAATTATAACGAAAGAGGTGTCCAGAAGCGAATCGCATGCAGCAAGTTGCGCCTCCCCCCCACAAATTATTCAGGGATATATTTTTACGAAGGTAATAATTTTTGGAGCCAATCATATTTTTGTGGGATTCTTTCAAACTATGAAACACTTGAAAAACAATATTATAATTTTTATAAATTTATTTTCATTTGCACCATGATTAAGAGTATAGGAGGAAATAGATAATTTTGCGAGAAATGATGGTCTATTATGCTTGGTAGGATGATTATATACATTAATAATACCGTACCCAAAATAATCTTAAACATTTTAATATAGAAACGTTCTAAACTGTCTACGGTTTTGCTTTAAAAATAAAATATATTTTTAGGCAATTGTTTTTATTACGAAAATCCCATATCACAGAAAAAATAGAGATAAAAGCTTTGCAACATTTAATTTTATTAATTTATGCTGAAAACACGGACAGATGACTGGATAGAAAATAAAATTTCTTTACATAACTTGAAGTGAATCTCAAAATTTTTCCTAATAAACCTCAAATTGTTTAATGTGGACTTAAAGCATATTAAACAAAGAAGTTTTTTGTAAAAGTGTAGTAAATGTAGCACAGTTGAAGGATGATCTTTAAAAAAATCGCAAATAATTTATGAATTTATTTTTAAACGGAACTTAGCAGAGTTTGTCTACTCGATAATCCTCTTTAAATAGTTTTAAAAATGACAAACTCTACTTCCGTCTAAAGTAAATTTTGTCTAGTTTACTATGGAGCAATGTTTAATTACTTTAAAAAAATATTTTTTATGTTATCGCTTCCTATTCAACAAAAAACACAAATCTTAAATTTCCTACTGGAAATTGAGGAATTGTTTACATGAAATTTTTAGTAGATGTTGATGTCTACTATTAACCTTTTAAATATTATCCTCTACTTAAGGGACACCTTGTATATAGGATATTAAAATAAATCATAATCATAATAATGATAAAATGATATTTATAAAATAATAAGAATTGAAAAAGTAAAGGTCTTGAAAAATTAGTACAAAATAAAAAAAAAATTGTCTTTTAAAATGATGAATTATTTATACGAAATATATAATTTCGTAAAATAGTTAATAATTAGGGTATATTTGAAATTTTATAAATGCCAAATATCACGACTTTGACAGATGACGGCTATACTACACGACCAATATGATTTACCCCTTTACCTTCTGGCACAGTAACTCCACAAGTTCGGCATCATCCTCTTCTTCGAGAGCCGGTAGGATAATCGACTTCTTCCTCGCCCCTAGACCAGGAGGAGGAGACGGTGTGGCGCGCACTTCGAAGGCAAGCTGAGTCTTCCTCTCCTTCTTCTTCTTCTTCTCGGGCGGGAACCCTTCGACGGGGATGTCCTCCCAGAAGAGGCGGTAGATGTTGGTGAGTACCATCGCTCTCTGACCAGCCGTGCAGGACAGTCCCATCAAGACTGGAGGACTTGGACCCTCGTAGGATTAGGGGCAGCTGAGAGGCTTCCCAGAACCCTACACCGCCCTCTACGGTTACTCTCTGTAACTTACGTAACTTCCCTCCCCCCGAGGAGATAGCTTTGTCCTTTATATATCGCTCAGATAGTCGAATAAACATCGGTACAATAAGGACGGCTAATATCGATATCAGTTCAGCGAAATTAAATTGAAATAATTATTTAGAAAAACTATTCGAGTTTATTTTTACATTTAAGAGAGACAAACATAAATATAACGGGCGGATAAGACAGACTAACAATCACATAACACTACAGCTATATATAACAATGGAAAGATAAGTAATGTAAACCATATTACAAAAAAAAAAAACATTAAGAACTACATTTTATAAAAAAAAAAAATTAAAAAAGAAAGGATCATAATAAATTGTAGTCTAAAATTTGGTTAATATATGTAAATATCTATCCCATTCGCAGTCAAAGGTTTAATTCTTAAAAATAAATACTATTAGCAAATTCTCTATTTCTAATATTTTTAAATTTTAATATTTCATTATTAAAATATTTACAAATTTATTCTTCAAATTTTCAAATTCACTAACAGAAAAAACTAATTCTGTTTGAGTTGAAAATCATGTACGCATGTCCTCAACCTGTAAAAAATGGCTCTGTAATTTATTATTATTTATTTGTGTATTTATTATTTTAGATTTTAGCTATGCATTGTTTGCCAGAGGTCAATGGTTAAGAACATCCGGCTATCGTAAAGGGGTTATGATATGCCTTGGGGCAGTACAAAGAACAAGCGAAAAAAAAAAAAATAAATAAAAAAAAAAAAAAATATATATATATATATATATATATATATATTGTAGGATAGGTTTAATGGGTCAATAACTATTACTACTTTACTGAAATAGATGTTGTTGGAAGTTTTTCTGTTTGTAACTGCAGTGAGCAACTTAAAAGGATTCGACTTGTATGGTATCAGACATGAAACGCTGGTGCCCAGGAAGTCTGTGATATAACATTCCATTCTGCTGAACCATTGTAATATTATATTATTGTATTAATAGTTCATAGTATTCTTATATATATATATATATATATATATATATATATATATGACTATTAATACAATATATATATTACAATGATATATATATATATATATATATATATATATATATATATATATATAAAGTTTGTATATATCATGTGACCACAGGCGGATCTACGGGGGACGGAGGAGGTGAGTTAGAGCTTTCGGGCTAAAGCCCCCCTCCAAGAAGGTAAAATATAACCATGTTTTATCGAGAAAAAAAAATTAAAAACTATCTCTTAAAGTATTATTGTTCGTGTAATTACATTTAATAGGACTTCAAGAATCACTTAAACACCATTTCATATAGTTAGTTTATTGCTTTATTTTATTTTTTTCAAATTAACTACCGTTTTATATGTACGTTTTGTATATATGAAAAAAAAAAATCTTTCGGTCTGAAGACCCCACCAAAATTCAATTCTGGATCCGCTACTTTATGTGAATACTTATGTATAAACAAATCTTTATGAAAATATGACTAAATCATACAGAACAGTCACTTATTTCCAAAGTGAATACTATTTCATTTTTTATGGAAATTTAGATAGGTATCGGTGTAAAAACACCCAATTAATCTGATGTTGCAATTAATTTTTTCAAAACCTGACCTAAATATTACAATACGAGGTGTAAAAATATGTTGATTTCCGAAACTAGCCATTTTCCAAGGAATGTAATGAAACTTGTACCATCAAAAGCGTTTTCAATATTTTTATTAAAATCAAACAGGAGGCTTTAAACTCTGGCATTAATCTCTTTCTCTCATTATTGGGCAGAAAAAATACATGTTTAGCCGAAAAGGCTAGAGACAATTAAAAAAAAAACAACTAAGGTATGTGCTTTAGACCACAAGATAAAAGTGAAAACATCAACAATGCGAGATTAATAAATGAAATATAAATTATAAATAATATCTCATTACGAAGAGGATGAAATGCTGAACATTTACCTCGCTTACAGTGTGAAGATCCGATGTTTAGTTTCTGAGATATTTTAATCTATATCGTCAATAAAAAACGTTATAATTTGGTTTTCAACGCTATTTTTTCCCTTCTCTTCTCTCTAACACGATGTTATGTTAAGATATAATTTTGAATAAAAGCCCATTTCAGAGAGGCTGAAATGATAAACAATTCCCTCTCTAACAATATGAAGGTCCGATTTTCAGTTCTCGAGATATTTTAATCCATATGTAAACAAACTTAGTCGACTGCAGCCGGGTTTACCCGAACGTTACACATCGAACATCTGACGGCTCAAAATGTAATTCAATCTCTATAAAAAAGTGCAAAATGAGCCTAAAGAAGTTTTCACTTCAAAAGGAAAAGTTTTAATTTTTTTAAAATAAAAAACTCTATTAACGACTAAAATCGTTAATACCACAATCACGGTTTATTTCAATAAAACTATATATCTACAATACAGACAAGTGTTAATCAATCAAACACATTTTAGTAGATACTTCATGATTAAGGTTAATTAAAAATCGATTTTTTGTTGAATTATTAAAACCATCAGTGTAGTAAATACTAAAAAAAAAAAATATATGGAGCGTTAGGAAGTAACCAACCAGCAAGTTTCATTGTCCCCTGGATAAAGAGACCCCTTGGTTACAAAAGAATACGTTTAATCAATCCTCAACCATTGTTTGGACTAAAACATGTTTTTGTTTACATTGATAATCGCCGTCTGGAAGATCTGTAAACAATAAGATAACAGTTCCTGATATGGTAACTGCATCTCTGGGAAACTGTTATAAAGTGTAATTCGTATCATTTATAGTTATTCAACTAAAACTGAATGAAATAGGCCTAATATGAAGTGTCGAAACACTATGTACATACAATTATTTATCAGTGATAAGTTTTATGAAAATTCGAAATTACTTGATATATATAAAATGCAAAATTTAATTAACAAATGATTTTATTTTATTTTCATGAAATCTGATAACGGGAGTAGAGTAGCTCAGTGAGTTAGGCACTAGACTGCTAAGCTGTAGGTCTCGAGTTCGAATCCGGCAGATGTCAAGTAATTTTTTAACAACCGTGGATTGACCTAGCAGTAATAAAGTGGGTATTTTTAAGTATATAATTAATTAAGAGGGTAAACCACTCACACGACTTTCCTACCTATTTCAGAAAAGTTTATATATCTTTACGTATGTTCATGAAGAAACAAAAAAGAATTGAGCTAGATTTATATTCCTGAAAATTGATCAAACAAAAGAGTACGATTTATTTGATAAACTAAAGCAATGTAAACCGGCTTAAGGTAGATCAGTGTAAATATTTCAATACTCACTAATATTTTTGATCAAAAACTTTTTGCCATAGCTTAGTATTGGCAAACAATAATTACTGTTAAAAGTAGAGGGACTTCATTACCTTACAAACGACAGGCTAAACGGTTTTTTTATACCTAGTATAGATAGGAAAGTAAAAAATAGTATATGCTGTATCATCGCTAATACTAGTTCGATTCCGATGATTTTTTTTGTTTTGATGGTAACTTAATTACCTTTTAATAGTTTTATTATAATTTTTACCATTTTTCTTTTCTTTATAACTTTTTTCTTGATTTTTTGGGGGAATTTTTTCTTGACTGTATACGAAAATTGAAAGGACAATGATTAGAACATTATAGGAAAGTTTGATTAAAATCGTTAGAGACGTTTTCGCGCTACAGTGTATAGAAAAACGTTTTTCATTTATTGCGCACAAGCTATTGCGCATGGAGCAACGGTTTTCTGTCACAAGCATCAGTAGTCAAAACCCTACAAAATAAAAAAAAGAAGCAACAAAATAGGTTCAGTAGTTCCCAAGAAAATCTTGGCACAGAAAGACCAATGTCTAAAAATGTGTTTTTCGGACTCAGTGGGCTCTGAAACGTATAGATTCGTCGAAAACCGCATGTCGGAAATTTCATAAAATTTCATTCGAAAGTATTACAAATTGTAATACTTTCTTTACCTAGTATAGGTAGGAAAGTAAAAAAGCTAAGTGGTTTTTATTATAGAAAATCCCGATTAATACCAATCTAGTTGATCACCAATCCAATCCTGAAGAACACTGGAATGAATCTTCCATGGGTAACGTGGAGTGGAACCTGGACTCAGCAGAGGCTGTTTGCCCTACCCGACAAGAGAGGATCCTGTCAGAGCCATGTCAGCGCCAGACCATCCCAAAATCTAAAGCTATGTCCTCCTCGCAGTTCATTCCGAGTCGACCGAACGCTCCTTTGAAATATTATCGACTGCCATCGTTATGAAAAATAAAATAAGGAATGTGCTTTAGACCACACGATAGAAGTGAAAACTTCAACAAGGCGAGATTAATAATATGAAATATAAATTATAAATAATAGCTCATTATAAAGATGATGAAATGCTTAACATTTCCTTCGTATTACAGTATGCATGTCCGATTTTCAGTTTCTGAGATATTTTAATCAACTTCTTCAATAAAACTCGTTATAGTTTGGTTTTCACACTATTTTTTCCTTTTTCGTTACTTTAACACGACGTTGCGTTAAGATACGATTTTAATTAATAGCCCATTATGAAGAGGATGAAATGGTGAACATTTCCCTCTAAAACAATATGGAGGTCCGATTTTCAGTTTTGGGGATATTTTAATCTATATACAAAAACATTCCAATTAATTGACTCCGGTCGACTTTACCCGAGCGTTACACAGATCTGACTGCTCAATCTAATTAACTCTCCATGAAAATAGTACAGAGAGGTTAGCGAGTAAGAATCTCGCTCAACTGCCAGCTTTTTTCCTCCCTTAAATAATTATTTAATTAATAGTATCCACTTTAAAGAGATTTGGTGTCTCCCAGGTCTAAAGATCTACAGACCCCCCAGGATCGATGCAATGGTAATGAGAAATTACTTGACATCAGCCGGATTTGATTCCGGGACCGTGAGCGTAGCAGTCCAATGCGTAACTCACTGACCTACCCAGTTTCCAGTTCTCAGTAATGTCTTTTTGATGATAAATGTTGATATTTTCTTAAGTGTGTAGTAATTCATTCTATCTTGATTTTCTTACATCCTTTATTTTTAGTCCGTGGTACAGATTCATTTTTATCAAATTATTGACATCCGCTTGAAACTTCATAAATAACTTCATCTCATCGTAATCTATAACTATTTTATTTACGGAAATTCTCGAAATTTGGACGTTTTCAATCTAGAGATCGGTAAACTTTGTATACTTAATTAGGTACTAAAAACTCTTTTTCCTGTTCTTCCCTACTTCGCCTTTAGGCTATACGGGATTTTCCCGTGACGAGGGGAAGGGGAGGGAGGGAAGAGGGCGGGGAAGGGGAATTTAAAATCCCTTTCGGTATCGGGAGCTCTTACTTTTTTTTTTTAATCTTTCATATCTCCGGTTATCTGGGCTACTCGCGGTGCTATGCACACGTGGTAGCCCATTCGGCCGCACTGCTCTCATAAAAAAAAACTCGTATTGTAATAAAAAACGAATTATTTTTATACGTGTGAGCTAAGATTAGATTTTCCTGAATATTTATCACCCATAAGTTTAAAGCTTAGCTCAGAGACACTTTTAGTAGTATCGAGTCTGGCAGCCGTATAGTTACGAAATCTGCACCCAGAGTACCTACCAAAATTTTAAGACACTGTTCGGATCTAAATTTGAACCTTTATATTTTTTATTTAAAATGTGCTATTCTGTTTGCTCGATTATTTAATATAAATTATTGTAGTGTCAGTATATAACTTTATTTTTGTTAATGACAAAGGAAAGGAAGCATGCGAAGGGTATCTGTAATCAGGGAGTGTCCTTAAGGACCCTTTATTCTGGCTCACCACCCTGGAGCCATCAGCTGGGGCCTGTCTGGAACGAGCCTTCTCCAGCCCCATCTATCACCCAATAACAGGCTCCAGGCAGGATGTTTACTTTACGGTTCTTTAATGTCCTTTTCGCTCTTAGAAAGCCATATTTGTTTGTCCAATACAACTACTGCAATACATAGAGTCATCATGGATATCCGAAAACAATCTACTATGGGGAGTTGAAGTGGAAAGTACTATCTCTTGTCTACAATTAAGTGACTAGATGGTTTCAAGGCTCATGAACTCAGACAATTCTGTACTCTACAAGATAAAAAATTAATTAATATTGGATTGCCAATATTTCTTTTCTTTTTTATATTAATTTTTGTCACTAGAATTGTATAGTAGTTATTTGATAAATTAATTCTTAAGATGGATAGTTCATCTGTAAATGTAAACTCTTATTAAAATTAATTTAGTATCGTGTTTGTTATTGCACTGCAATCAAAGAATAAAACATATTTCATCAAAGGAATGTTTTTATTATTATTTTTTGAAATTGAAGTAACTGTAAAAGCTTGATAAAAATTTGCTGTTTATGGAAAAGTTTCCTTTACTGAACTCATGTGTCAAAATTGGTAGGCCAAATTTATTTAAGGAAATTTCGAAATAGATAATGCTTTGCGGTCTGTCCACGGCCATTATTGATCAAAATCCTGTCCAATTAGAGGGATACATTTTTATGTCCCTACACATGTCGTATACAAGCGTAGAATACCGCCCAGAACTGACAAATCAGAATTCTACGCTAGGTCTCACTATAAATTATTAAGCTGACTTGAGTCCACACACTGCTTTCTGCAGTTCCTGATGCCACGCCCTGACGAAGACCTGCAAAGTGGGCCGAAACGTCGGCTTAAACAATAAAACACTATTTAAATATGTGGTATTTATTTAACCGCAACCCCCGACTAGCTCCTTATATTATAATCATTTTCTACACCATTGTAGATTAAAATAATTTTCATGGGTATAATACACCGATTTTACCGTAAAAAAACGAAAGGACTTATTTGCCAACCTAATATATAATAATGATGTCATAAAAAAAAAAATTGAGTAATATGAACCGCTTTAAGGGAATAAAGACAACACAAGTTTTGAGGGAGGAGAGACGGCAGAGGATGGGGGGGGGGGTTGTTAACAATGGCGGGGGAAGTTGGTGACAGTGAGATAGCGGACCTCACTGCCACTGCCACCTTGATATTCAACAGTCACTGTTGCCAACTCTACTCTTTGTCTATTTCTGTCTGTTCGTTATTATACTGTCCGTTGAACAATAGTTATTCCCTATATATAAATCAATAATAAGAAAAATAAAATAAAAAATAAATTTAAATATATGCAATGAATATATTCTTATTTATTTCGATAAAAAATGATACAATTCTATACTATATATAATACGGTAATGAGATCCCTCTTTCGGCTATTAGGAGCGATGGATTTTGAAGATTGAGATGTCTAACGAAAGGAGACGTGATGAATACCAATTGTCAAAACGTATAACCTTGATACAGCTACAATAAGAGAAACTGAAAAAAATTGATAGGTTTCGAAAGTTGGCGGTTAATGATTTCAACTGGTTTAATTCCAAAGGTTCCGCATTTTAATTAAAGCCCTACAATTATTAAGTTTTTGAGCTAAACCATAATTGTCACCGAAAGCCCCTAAGACACTAAGGTTACCATGGGATACGTATGAGATATTTAGGTTTTGAATATTAAAATATTATTATTTATAATTGTATTCTTCGAACTAAAAATCTATTTAAAAAGGATAGATAAAGGAGAGTGAATGAAAGGTCCTTCAGGTTTCTTTGGATAATGCAGAACGATACGTGTTTTGATATTTTTATAAATAAATAAAATATCCAGACATAGCTTATATACTCTCAGTAATGATCTTCTAAACTGTTAGTAAGCTATCGACAAACCAAGTCTCTTCTGAATTAAACAAGGCCTTGAAGGAGTATAACATCGTTTAAATTTAAGTTCATGGTTAGCTGGGGACATAGCCTTGTTAATCTGAGATATAAAACTAATTTCATTTTCCAAAGGATAGGATACTCTTTATAATAAAAATGTATTGTATTAGGATGAACCCGTCAGTTATAGGGACTCAGTGATGGAGAGGTTGGAATTTTAATATAAATAATAAGCTTCCTTGTTGATTTAAAGGTTTCATTTTTTATAAATTGAAGAACGATGCCCTCTATTAATAACTGTATGAACAAAGTTCCCAAATGAAAATTTTAAAATGCCTATCATTGTTATTTCTATAGTGCTCTTGATATCAGTGGGTTTCATACCTTCCTACTAACAGTAAGTTGAATCTTATCTCATGTTTATCGTAATCTTTATAATTAAAAAAAGATTTTAGAATGTTTCTGAGGTATGTCTATTACTGGTACCGACCCTCTGTCTAGAACTTACTAGAACAATTATATTTCAGTGTGTCCATCACTAGTGCAAACAAGTGTTTTTTTTAAATGGATATTATACCCGCGTAACTGAATATTTTTTTCAATTTTAAAGCGTTTAATAGAAAAAGGAGAACCTAGAGATTCTATATGTTCAACGGAGAATTTTGTAACTATAATAATTACGCCAGTATAAGCCAAAAAATACAACAATTTCCTTGGCTTTGTCCATTACTGGCGAGCTTACCCTACCTAAATATTACTAAATCATTTTTATAAAAATATATCTATATAAATCAAAAATATTGTACAACATTTATAATGAAATAGAACCCTAATGATGGAAAAGATCTCCGAAATGTCGTTATGTAAAATATATTACTAATAACATTAAATTATATGTAAGTATTTTTTCACTACAATTTGATAATTTCTGAATATATTCCAACATACTATCAAATAGTTAAATTTATATATAATTGAATCATATTAATGGGTAAGAAGTGATACATCGTAACTATCCGATGAGAAGTTAATTTGATGATAACGCATCTTTATTAACAATAAGCACTTAAAAAACTAAGCAGTTTTAAAATATTTTTAAACTGTTTCATTTAAATGTATCATGTATCATTGCATTACAAAATGTATCTGTATCATTTCTTAGCCTTTAATAAAATGTTTAATAGTTTTTTTTAAACTCACTTCTCTGTACGCAGACTTGGCTTTGTAGATGAAACATGGTTGAGCTCTAGCGGTATCGAAGAGGTTTAATTTTGACTTGAATGCCATGAGACTAATTAAAGTATGAACACTAAAATCGCGCACATATGTTCAATGTTGTTTGCACACGGATGATACTACGAAAAAGCCATATAAACAGTTAGCAAACAGGCGAGAAGCCTAACGAATGCCGAGCGCGGTCCAACTAGGATCCTTTTTCAATTCCATTTCAGTCGCGATCCAATTCACTACCTTTGTGTTTATTTTCTAGAAATGGCCTCGTATCTCGTATTTTTCAATTTCACAGCAATATGGCGGCATATCCTCATCACAGTCCCTTTGTAGAAGAAATAGATTTTTTTATATCGGGCGTTGAAGTTCATCTCTCTTATTGAAATACAATCCTTTTGTTTAAAAGGAATTGCTTTAGCGATTAAAATATACTTTATTTTTTTTTAGAAATAAAACAATAGATATATTGTCAAATGAACGTGTGCCCCTCACGAAGACCACAAATGTTAACAGTCACGCAAGACTATTTAGGGGACTCTAGTCTATCGGCAACTCAATTGTTATGGGGTCAATATACTCTCAGGAAATTGGAGGCAATTTACTTAGAAAATTACAATTATCCAAAAAGCAATCTAATAAAAGATTTAAAATCTAATATTAGTTAGATATTAATTTTTAATTTGAATTATATAAACCAGCTCATGGCCATAAAATATTTGAAATATTAATTAGTTAAAAATTTTGAATAAAACATAATTTAATTGCCATGACTGCGGTTAATAAAAACTCAAAATCAAACTATTTTTGAGCTTCTATTAAAGGAAGTTATAATCATAAATCGTGATTTGATTTTATTTTATTTCAAAATTCAGAATATCTACCTTATATAAAGTTTTTTTTTCTACCAACATTATAAATTTTGTATTAAAATTATTTTTATTTTTTAAAAGTAATATTTTATCTTATCTGAGTTATCCTGAGTCATATTAATTTTCTAATATGATTTATATAAACCAACTGATAGACATAAAATAAGTCAAATTTTAATAAATTATGCACAGTAAAATTAGTACTCATTTGTCATTTAAGGCATTTTTTAAAGTATTTAAATAAAGTGAAATTTTTATAGTTTCACTTTATAATATGGGAACTTTATTACTCGTAAGTATTATTATATATAAGAGTCGTACAAAATCACAAAATATACAGCGATTTAATTTAATATATTGTTTTCTTTTAATAGAATATTCTGTGAAAAATTATTATAAAATATGAATTTAAAGATGAACTATAAGCGACTATTTCGGATTAATTCCAAGACTTGTTGGACTCCGACAACACGCCAGGAAACGACCTCTGCCATTCCAATCCGACACTCACCCGCAGACGGATACTCGAACCTCCGGACACTGCAACTCCCGGACACCCTCTACTTCGGCAAGAGGACAGACTCCCGAACTGTGGGACTACCACTAAGGGAGTGGGGAGCCCTGAGCTGGTACGGGACATCGCGAGCTCCCGTGCCGCCCATAACATCGCCGACACGGCATCACTCACTCGAGGATCGGCCTGTCTTGGAGAAATATTGCCCCCTATACTCTCGATATTTATAGCTACTACGGCTCCAGTATTTTATATCTGACTTTTTTTCTTCTTTTAAAACTTTGTAAAGATAATTCTAAACTGCCAGGAAGGCGATTAATAGTCTGCATGCCAGGGAAAGTTTGAAGTTATAACACAAATACTATTTGGGTAAGATAATGCATTGACAAAATATTTTGGTTTATTATTTTGAATAAGGAAGGTTCGTGAATCGACCAACGATAAAAAATAAATTAACTCCCATCATCGAAATTTGAGGTTATACTACTATATTAACTGCTTCGATTGTTCAGCATCTATTCATCATATAGTGAGTTTCAGGAATTTTAAAAACTTTCAGACTTTCTAAAAACAACCTCTATTTCTTCGTATTACCTTTTTCGAAGGCCAGACGAATGGATGTTTGATCCATTTGGCCCAAATGTGCCCGAGTGGCTGAAACCCCAGCACATTTATTGGAAAAGTGTTCAAATAACATGCTCCTCGTCACTCGCCAGCACAATAAGTATCAACACTGAGATTTAGAAGAATTTTATTTATTAATTAAATGTTTTGTTTTTAATTATTTATTTTTTAATTACTATCAATTATTTGTCTTGTATATATATATTGTATTGTATGTATATATGTGTGGATACGTTTATCTCTAATGCTTATTGCCTTTGAGAGTGACAGATTGTGTTAATATTCAATAAATATATAATATAAACAATTTTAAAAAAATTGTCCACAGGTGTTTTATCACATTATTAGCTGGTGACTATGGTAATGTTTTTATAACTTTGGTGCAATTATGACGTAGGCATTCCTTAACTAAGATAGCACTGTGTTATGGTTCGTTATCCTGATAAAAACAAATTTTGTTTTTTAGTACAAATTATTCACAATTTCTTTCAAGTTTTTTTCTTTTCAAAATGTCTATGTAAACATTTTTATTTACTATACTATGTGCATATTGCCAAAATAAAATGAAAATTTCCTACACCAGGAGCCACCATACATTCCCATATCAAGAAACATAAAATAACACTTTACTTAGATGTTTATTGATTACAATAAATTATTGTTTTTATTGTAATATAATTTCAACTTCATTTATTCAATAATTTTTATCAATGTAAAGATGTATCATTTTTACTTAAATATGGAAGTGTATCATTTCTAAATATATCGTGAAACCCGAATTGATTAAATGAAGAATAAACAAACGAAAGAAGGTAGACGTAATTAGGAATATATAATAAATGTAAAGTTCATTTTATGCAAAAAAATGTTTTAATAAATTTAAATATACTAACATACTATATATAACGATTTTTTTTTTTTAAAATATTACGATTCCAACTCCATAAAAATGGTTGTATGGTTATCTATTGATACAATTAAACGTTGAGTAATAGTTTTAAGGTTTTTTTAAAAAAAAAGAAAGTTTATTGTTTCAAGTTCGCTAATGTTTTGGCTTAAGTTTAGGGCATTTAGTTCTACAGTCTTAGTTAATTCTATCTATTCATCTGGCTAATGGTCTTCTAAGAGGTCTCTTATTGAGGCATTCATTGGTGAGTAGTGGCTTCCTTCCTGATGGATTGCTCGGAGCTATAACGTCCGCCCAAAATACATAAAAACATGTTATTTACGAAATTCCACTTAGTAGTAATTACAAAATAAATTAAAAAGATATATTATTATTTTAGCTGTGAACTTATTAAACAATGTTAACTAAAAAATCTATCTATCAATTAAATTAAAAATGCAGTTCAATTAACTTATTTTTCTTTTGTTTTAATATGAAAAATAACTGAAAAAGATATAAGAATTATATAAGTATAACAAGAAACCTTAGAATATTTCAGGTAAAAAAAAAAAGAAAAAGAAATAAAAGGAGCGCCGTAATAGGGCAGAGGAGAGAGGGCCGCAGAGCAGGACTGCGTTGCGGGCTTAGAGGAGCCTCGCCTCGAAGGGGCTACTCCACCCCCTCAACTCTTAATTAACTCAGGACTTCCAGCGCTTTAGAAAATTCCATAAATACGTAATGTTACATCAGATAAACATCAGCCAATCAACTTAACTTTTCGCTGGTTGCAGCTAAAATATAAACAATGTTTTCGAGGAACTTTAGAAATAACTAACATTCATATTAAATTTAACGAATAACCACTGAATCATATTAGTGATCGGTGAATTAATTGATGAATAAAGATACAGAAATATCCTCCCTACATTCTAGAACTCCTCACTCTATCCACTCTCTTAATATTAGATTTTAACCTATAGATTTATAAATCCCCATTCCATAAAACCATTTCCTTCAGAACAAATCCTTCGTCATTCATGCTACCTCTTTTTGAAACTCCTTATTTATCTCCATACATTAAAAAAGTCCACAAATAATAAGTAACAAGTTTTAGATTATATAATTAAAATCTCTTATTAACAGTTTATTATGAGAGCCATTTTATTTGTATTAATTTATTTTGTATTTTTTTAAAATTCCAAATTAATATAAATATTTTTTAAACCTTGTCATTATTCTTATGGGATTTTAGTCCTAGAATAAAATTATTTTTCATTTCGACATTCCGATCTGTGGGTTCCAAATGGACTAATGGACGTTATTCAGTTTATTATGGTCACGTACGAAATAAGTTAAAAAATTAATAGGAAAATATATATTTCGATGTTCCAACAGATTCTGTAAATTTATCGTAGTTATGTCAGTAAACATGTCTTAAATCCATCTCTATACTGGTATCTGTAATGGAGGCGAGGTATCCAAGCGATCTAACGTGCTGTGTAAAATATACGTTGCCTTGGCAACCTGATGATAAACTGAATGATTAAGAGTTCAAATCACGGTGCCCGGTGGTACTTTTAACTCGACATACTTCCTCCGGCTCAAGAAATATAGCCTTAAAGGCAAGGAAGGGGATACAAAAGCAAAAAAAAAAAATAGCCGAATTGGGTGATTAATTTCTCAACAGTTGTGAAGATGTTTACGCGCGTTTGCTTTTGAGTGTCGATTTCGATTTTTAATTTATTAGATTTTATAAATTTGGCTATAAGAACGGAATAAAATATAATAATGTTTGAGAAATATTTAATATTTCTTTTGGTGACTCCGCTGTGAGTAAAACAAGGATTTACGAGCGGTACAAGCGTTTCCAAGATGATTTTGAAGATGTAAATGCCGACGAACATTCTGAACGGCCTAGCCTATCAACAATCGATAAAAAAGTGAAAGAATTGATTATGAATCACAATGAATGAAGCTGATGATGAGTTTTGGCGAAACAATTTATAGATTTATTGCATGTGCACGCATTGAATTGCTTGTTAACTACACTGTAATTGTGTTCCAGTTATAATATCGCTTAATATAACCCGGTGTGACTTTTCCTTCTTCCTAAAATTAAAAAAAACAACTTAAAAATACGTAGTTTAAAAAAAATACATGAAATTAAAAGCGCATCGCTGAGACAAATAATAATATTAAGGTCGAGTTATAAAAATGTTTTGGGATTGGAAGAGCCGCTAGCATAAGTATACAAAATCTAATCGAGAATATTTTGTAGATAACATTTTTGTACACGAGTATATAAAATTGTTTTTAAAAAATGACAATTCCATTTATTTTTATGATGGACATGGACATACAAGATGAGCTCATCTTGTAAAGACATGCCATTGACAAGTGCAATCTAAATCTAACGCTGGTGACAGCAATTTTGATATAACATATTTCGAAGTGAAGATCTGTCACTAAAGTTGTGGCTCTCAACTAAAGAGCTCTTGATGGTAAAAATGGCATGTCAACTCGGTGTGGTTGAGGAGCTGTGGCCATCAGCAACCCCTCCCCCCTCTATTCCTCCCCCCCCCTTGCAGCTTCGCATTAGGGTAAGTGCCAGGGGATGGGGATCTCTCGTCTCACTTCTATTCAGTCTTCTCTAGCTGATGTCCGCCATATTTATCTAGGCAGCATGCATTATTATGGCCAATGGGTGTGCGCGACCTTTATATCAGACCTTGGCTGTATCTCCAACAAAATTTTTTTAAATACAAAATGAAAAACATTTTTTGTATATGTATTTTAAGAAGTAAAATATAAGATTGTTTGAAACTGTATTTTCCTCTAAAAATACAAAATATAAAAAAGTTATTCGTAATTTCTTTCCAGAATACTAAAATTCAAATAAATTTTTTATATTTCTTGTTTTATATGTCACTGATTTAGGCAGAATCCACTTGTTTCCAGCCTTGCTTCTTCCTCGATTCCTAATAATTCCCATACGCGTCTGAAAAAAAAAAGATGGCCTCGTGAACTTCATAACTAGAATTAAATAGGGAGTGCTACCACTGGATAGTATCTCTTCAAGTCTGATCATGTCATCAGTTGTAATGTGTGCATATTTAATGGTTGTATTTTTATACAGTTGTAAATTTCATTAAATAAATAAAAAAATATTTTTTGTTTTAAATACACAGTTATTAAGCAAAGCCGAGCCGTTTGCAAGAAAATTTCCGTTGAAAATCGAGTTTAGACAATTTTTAAGTTTTAAATTTGATAAATAATTATCTTTTCCCACAAAATAAATCAGTTAAAGAAAAAAATGTAGGATTCGAGGACCATGTCATAGGAAACAGAATATGAGCATATTTCGACAAATAAACAAGTAAATTTGGGCTGAAAGATGTTCAGTTGGGAAAAAAAAAGTTTTTCCTCAATAATATTTCAAAGCATTTTTTATCAAAGAAAAAAGAATGATTCAATTTATGAAATGTCTTAGAGAAAATTTAAACTGAAATAACTTGACCAAAATAAATTTTTATCATAAATATTCAGAAATAATATACATTGATTCTCAATTAGTTATTATAAAAAAATATACACTGTCTTCTAATATTTTAACTTTGTTCTGCAGAATACACCTTTTATTTTTAAGGGATTAATTGTAGAGTGTGACTTCATGAGACTATTTGTATTTTGTTTTCTGGAATTATAATATATATATATATA